GGATTCTAGAACAAAGGCACTTCGTGTAAAGGGACAGCATTTCAGTGTATTTGGAAGGTGTGGGTTTACTTTGTATTTCGGGGGACACCCCTCAGTTGTAATGTAGTGTGGAATAGGAGCATACGACAGTTGTCTGTACTATTAGGGGCACTGGCTTGAAACCAATGTTGTACATATAACAATAAATAAAAAAGACAACGTGTCATAATTCAATCCCAGATCGATTGATATAACAATGTAAGTAATATATATACTGCTTATTCTGATCAAAGGGTTTCGACACATTTCCTTTATACATCATAAGTACTTATGCCGTACTGCGTCGTCCGTCCGTCCGAAGAACTGGAGGGCCTAGGGTCACGACATTTGACCAGTAGTTAGATTGGATGAAGTGCTATAAGTTTCCTCGTTAAAATGACCTTGACCTAGTTTCAATGTCACATGGGTCAGATATGTTAAAAACTTTAAACAACAATATCCTAAAAAGCATTTGGACTAGAGTCATAATACTTGGGTATGTTATGTAGACCAGATGTGTGATTCTTTTTGTTAATTACAGTAATGAGGTAAAAGGTCAACTTTAGGTGCTAGTCGGGGGTCAAAGGTCAACATGGGTGAAAAGCTATAAAGTTTCCTCATTAAAATGACCTTGACCAACATTCAAGGTCACATGGGTCAAAACTGTTAAAAACTTCAAACAACAATTTCCTAAGAACCATTCGGTCTTGTCATGAAACTTAGGTATATCATGTAGACCAGCTGTAGGAATCGTTTTCTTTATTAAAGTAATGAAGTCAAAGGTCAACGTGGGTTAAAAGCTTTAGAATTAGAATTAAAATTTCAGACAACAATATCTTGAGAATCGTTTAAGAGATGTTAAAATGTCTTGTGTTCTAGTTACCAAGTTTGGTCAGCAGTTACCTATATGTCAGTTTCATGTAACAAAAGAAACAGGTGAGCGATACAGGCTCTCTAAATCTCTTTTTTTGATTTCCTGGTTAAACGAATGCTTTATAGTTTTGGAAGACATATGATAGATTGTCCAGGCCGGAAGTACTACCAAAATGCCATGCATGTGCCTAGGCCCTAAGGAAAGGGAGCTAACATTCGTTCTTTAAACAACAATCGACTTCCAGCTCAAAGGGACCAAAGATGCTTCATACGGAATATAACATGTATATATATGTATATGGTTATCTGTTTCCTCGTTTTGACCCACATAATCATTCTCCAGGATGGAGCCAGACCACAGAGGTTATCCTTGTAACATGATTGTGTTTTGCTTTTCAGGCCCAGCAAGTAAATACATGGGAATTGGGCAAGGATCTCACAACTGTTTCCATGCTCCGGTCAAGGGACTTAGTTACCAGAGGTAGGGCCAGACCCGGAGACCCATTCTTGTAGCATAATTGTGTTGATATCATCAGGTCCAACAATTCGTATATACAGAGTTCGGGTGGAAATCCATGTTATAATCAAGGGATTAAGTCTCGAGAGAAAAGGAAGGACCAAAGAGCCGACCCTTATGGCTTACGTATATCCATTTCTTCATGATAAGCAACTGTATCTGAGTATAATAAGGAGGGGATCACATCCGTTTTCATGTTCATACCAAGGGACCAGGGCTCCTTTGATGGGGACGGGCCAACGGAAGGGCCATTCCTGGTACCATGGATGCGTCAGTGTCACTATGTCCAATGCGTAAAGACATGATTATAGGGTGGGGATCTTGATTGTTTTCAAAACTTTTAAAATTGCTCACCCCTGGTGTTGAGATGGACCACATTGCAACTTGTAGGTAGCATGTGTATCTAATGATATCGTGCATGGGTATATACGGTTATAGGGTATCAACCTTTTCCAGTTTGACCAACAAATGCCTACTGAACCTTGCTCCTAAGTTCGCGACAGAACCCTGGACAAATCCCGGTGGCAAATGTGTATTTATGTCTTCATTCTAAGCAATTGGTCAGGATCGAGTAGTTTCCTAATTATGACCTAACGTCCGGGTCCGTCCCTCTGCCTCTGTCCTCCATTTATACAGAGCCGAGGTATAAGGATGTTTTCCTGTTTCCGTTATTGGGCTTTATCCCTCTGCCACTACATGGGGCTTGTCCTCCGATAACACAACGATGAGTATCTTTGCCCAATCATGCCGCGCAAAACTAAATTAACTTTCAAGTCCGTCCAACTATAAGAAGGAGGAATTTCAATATAACCGTCTACTTCCCCTTAAAGGTCCCTTGTTCTGACCAATTGGTTTACACAACATTGATTCCCCTTTGCCCATTAATTCTGCAGACCAAACTTGGACAAAATCTACTAAGTTGACGGACTGAAGACGGATGCAGCACTACAGCATAAGTTCACCAGCTCAGTATATATCCAGCAGTCATTGACTTGTTCCGGTACTTTGACACGACTTCTGTCATTCGGTTATTCTTTCCCTTTTTGACATTTCCAGTGGAATTTACCAGCTTTTAGCTCACCTTGTTTGAAGAACCAGAGTGGTGGTGGCTGGATATTTAGACAAAATGTTTATTGGTGACTGGACAGTTATGAGGGCCATTCAATAAATTCCGTCACCACACGGCTGGTTATAAAGTAGTTTGGCGCCTTGGCAGACTGCAAAGGCATTTGAAGAGCAATGCTCCTGCAAAATGTCATCATCATCAGTCAGGATGTGAACAACTTATTCATTGTTGGGTCTTTTTAATGCTAACATGAAGGTCGAGACTAAATCTGAAATAAGCACGGCGTGCCTTTCAGATACAGCCGATGCACAGTGTGCAGCATAAAAAGCACCTCTGCCGTCACATTGAAATCCATTTCAGGTGGGTGAACAAATTCAAGAATGGTAAAATTGACATCAAAGGGGACACACGTCCAGCCTGTCCAGTTGTTACAGCATTGAAAAAGAACATTGCTGCTGTGAAAGCAGAAATTTGGGACGATTGTCGTTATACTTTTTCTATTCATATGGTTGGCGCTTCAGAAGACACTTATCACATCCTGACCAACAACTTAAGATCTCCCATTTGCTGACATCTGAACAAAAGGCCAAATGTTTGAAAATGTGATAAAATACACTGATAAAGTACGGTAATTGCAGCTCAAGAATGCTATCTGAGTTACTTACAGGGAATGAGATCTGGGCATATTACTTGAAACCCCCAGAGGCACACCAAGAAAGGCCAAAGATTGCAAAACGTATAAAAAGCGCAAAGAAATTGTTTATGTCATTTTGTTCAATTCTTGTGGTCTTATAGGTTAGATACTGTGCAAGATAAAAGCTATCACTGCCAAGTCCAACAGTGCTGAAGCCTGTCAAAACATTGAATGGCCTCCGGCTAATTCACCACAATGCCTCATCCCACAAAAGCAATAGTGTACAGGCGTTTTTGAAGCAAGAGAGATATAGTAGAAGAGTGACAGCAGATTGTGATTTTGGTTGTGCTATTGCGACACAGATCCTTATAAAATCCAATTGAGTGATGAATTTTTGAACATCTGTGTAGGGGACTCTGCAGTCACTATTTTAGTCCAGTTGAAGTTCAAGCAATGTTTTAATAAGTAATTAGTTTAAATTAATTGATTTACATTAAAATATACTATATTTTTCCATGGGCCATTTTTTGTTGTTGCTAAATATGCAACACCTCATTAGAAAGTTTGTAATGATTTTGGTTTTTTCACACAACAAAGATCTATTTCACCGAAGTTCTCATTGCAGTTAAGCTATTCATGTATACTACCACATAACAAGATTATCATGAAGCAGTTCACAATACGCCTGTCATTTGAGTTTGTTGAATGAGCAGTTGTTGAATGGGCAGTTGTTTGTGTCGTTGAAGTGTATGAAATACAGGTTAATGTTGAAGGAGAAAATATTCATCATACCAAGTAGATAAATAATACCAATAAAATATTATGGAATGCATATAATATTGCACCAATGAAACCAAGGGGAATAACTATTAATCATGGTCAGCTCATTGCAATTCCACTCACTCCACTGGCATAAACTCCACCAATTATGACCAGATAATTGTGGTTCTCCAAGCTTTTACAGTAATTATCCATGTATGTTATTTAGAGCAGACACTGTTTTGACAATTGAATAAAGGGCCATTACTCCTAAAATTTCTCTGTAAATCATGGTCAGACGGTTGTGGTTATTGAAATCGTCCAAGCTGTCCAGGTTATAAACCTTCCTATAAAGTGATAACATAATATCACAGAAAAAGAAAGATTTCAAAACTTTCACAAATTTTATGTTAAAATTGAAACAAGAGGCCAAATGGGCCTGCATCGCTCACCTTGTATAAATCTCACACTTGTAACCTTAAAAGTGATATGAAAATAAAGCTACAGGCAAATATGATTATTGATATATATGATGATATTTATGATTAAAATTCATTCAAAAGAAAATAAGATTTTAAAACATTTCACCCCTGTGACCTTGAAGTCGAACAAGGTCATTATGTTGAACAAATCTTATAGCCCTTCATCTCAGGATGCAACTTGCAAAATATCACCACCCTATCCTTTTAATTATTAAATTTAGGTCATTCAAATGTGACCTAGAAAGCGGGTCAAGGACATTCAAATGAAAAAGCTTGATAGCCCTTCATCCAAGCATGCTACTGGCTAAATATCAACATTCTGGGCCTCATGGTTATTCAGAAGAAGTCTTTTAAAGATTTTAAACAAATTTGACCCCTGTGACCTTGAATATAAGTCAGATATCAACATTCTAAGTATTATGGTTATTCAGAAGTCGTTTAAAGAATTTTTTGAACATATTTGATTCCTGTGACCTTGAATAAATGTCAAGGTCATTCAATTGAATAAACTTGGTAGCCTTTCATCCCAGCATGCTACTGGCCAAATATCAACATCCTGGGCCTTTTGGTTATTCAGAAGATGTCGTTCAAGATTTTTTTAGACAATTGACCTTTGGGCCAGGTGAGCTAATAACAAACCATGAACAAAAATCAAGAGGTTAAGTGATTTTATTTACCATTTTCAACAAAACATCTACCTTCAAAGCTTAAGCAAACAAATCCAAACAAAAAATATCCATAGCTTATAAATCAGATTCTACAAGCAAACTGATTAGGTGATTAGATATAATTTTACTCACTACATTTATACCAGCAATGTTTAATTCTAAAACAATTATAAACAAAAAAAGATAACCTTTGTGAACTATGAGTGTGTTTTTAAATTTTACTTGGTCTATATTTAAGTCTACAATGTTGCACCAACAAGCACTAACCTCTTCAAAGCACTTCAATTTTCATTATCATGGCACCAACATAATACATCATAAATTTGTAGAGTGATAAATATATATAATTTTAGTATATTACAAATATCTTTCATCCACAAAAACGACAGTTACAATTTTGCTGATTTTATATCAGCCATTCACTGGATAATTACATCTTAATCACAACATGAAACATTTTTTACTCTGCATTTATGTTTCAGATAATTGGAAATATATTTCCAAATGACCAGTCCCGTGTTTTGCTATGAAAATGATGGGCAGTGGTAACTTGGGATTTTGTTTTCTCTCTTGGTCTCTGAAATAGAGCACCAAACACAAAAACAAAACAAAAGTTAAAATTGTGACTATGTAGTTTGCTTTATAGCAAGTCGTGTACATCAAAATATTTTCCAAAATGACAAAAAATTATACCTGCACCCACAAAGTAAGCTGATGACTTGCGAGCAGATAGGAATGTCCCATATTTGTATTCAAATAAGGTTTGATATTTTCTTACAGGCTCAACATATATAGAGTTTAAGTAGCAAATCAGTTTACGATTCTTACTATTCTGGACTTGAAATAGAGGAGTTGTCTCCCTTTTTTGAAAATAAATTTAGAAACTAAAATTAAGTGTTAACATTATCCATAGACAGTCTCATTGTATGAAAAAAATAAGTTGATAGAATAACTCTACAAAACAATTGCATGTACATTATTTGTTCATTATTAAGTTAAATATATAAGACCATCAATTACAACACTATCATGGGTAGAAAAAATATTACCTTTTGGACAAGTTAAACATACTGTAGCTTGATGAACTGGGACTTTGGTGTTTATATAGAAACAGATATAGTGGAATGTCCTCACTGTTAGTTACCTAGCTAATACAATGTGAGTATTGCCACATGTGAAGTATATATATATACATGTATTGTTTCATTAAATGTTTCATAAAAATTTCACCTCTTATTTTCTTATGACATTTTTCATTGACAAACATGTACATTTACCACTTAACAAAAGATATTTACAATTATTTTTTCTCGCATTCACACATCATTCAAAGCATTTTATTTATACAATCATAGTCATAATTACATATTTTAAGTGGAATGAGGAACCCATGTATGAAACCAAATATTTCTCTTCAACAATATAACACTGATTGACATACTCTGCTTGTTGGCTATGATGTAAACCTGTATAAACACATATCTAATATGTTCACACTATTTCCATGCTGGATGGTTTTAAGTGAATGAAACTCCTGTTCAACTGTCAAAGGAGAAGTCAATGATTTGAAATAATTTAGAATTTAACTACTTGACTACATTCAAGTTGTAAGTAATCCAAAACCTTGCTAAATACTAAAGTAGGCCATTAGACACGTTAAACATTCTGATAGAAACAAAGAAATCCAATGATAATTATTATAGCACTTCAAAAGCATTTCAAAATATATGTACAGTGAAAAAACCAATAGCCAAATCAAGAAAATAATTTACACATTATGATAAAACTAAAAGAAATTCTCCTTCCAGATGTTTAAAATTTAACTAGAATTGACTGCCAACCGACTTACGTGACTGTATTAATGGTCCCTAACCGACTGGTTTGTTAAGTGTTTAACACCAAGTTTACTGACAATTCCGTATCCCACCAAAGGATCCAGTCCCTTAGAACATGTCGGTTAACACAGGTTTCCCATTTTATATCTAAGCAATCAAGTGACTTCCTTTCGAAACAGCATCAATTTTCGTTTTTGAAGCAAAGCTAAATTGTTGAATATACAATGTGATTATAGAACAATTCTTAAAAGTATGGATTTCATTCCATAGTCACTCTAATACAATGCATTTTAGTTTAGTCCACATGGTCTTGTAAAAACTGCAATGTTTTTTATTAGGATCTATTTACCAACCAATATAATTTCCTGGAAAATTAGTTACAGTGAAATTAGGTGAAAGGTGTTGAAGTATTGCCCCTTCCATAAACTGGGTTCATAAAAAAAGTGTCTAAAGGAGACTTGGCTGATTTGTACCCATACAAAGTAATATTTTCATGTGAATCCATCTATTCTAAGTACTTTCCATATCCCTTCCAGCTATCGGACTTGGTAAAAAGCTGAAAAGTGTTCTTTGTTAAAACTACATCATGATTTCACAAAAAATAGATCAGGAAAATTATTTTGTTTTCATATACTAATGAAAACGATACTCTTTATTCTAATTATAAATTTAATATCAGTAAAACCTTTGATCCATGAATTAGTTCTGATGGGTACAATTGTTCACTACAAAATAAGAGTGTCACTTGAATCACAGAAACCTATGTTTCTAATAACATAGAAATCCTAGGTAAAACAACTTAACTGCATCAAATTTGCCAGTAATTTTGTTTAATTTCCTAATTTTAGGCGAGCTTTTATAAATCCCATTGCCTATATATGGTTGTAAAAAACGAGGAAGAACAGAAAGTTTAATAATCTCCATGAAAGCCTTGAAACTGTTTGTACCATTCCCCAACCCCCTTTCTGAACAAATTGCTTGGAAAAAATCACTTTCCTGGTGACATTTTCGTTCTGTTTCACTCACTGATTCACACACCGACACAAAGTCTTCACACACCGCCATTAAGTCATCTCTTTGTTCAAAGCCAAGATAACTATTATATTAATAACAACTCCTCGAACTGGTAAAAAATTTGGATTAAAATGCCAGAATCTTGTTTTACAGACAAAATACAAATTTTATTTTTTACCTTCATGTTTAGCCTCTTTTCTTATCGTTCTCTTAAAAATATAAACATGAACTTGAAAAAAAGTCTTTATGTGTGCTTTTGAAATTTTCATAACTTCAGTTGTTTTTTTTACGAAAATAATAGATAATATTATATCTGTTTCTCTTTTGTTGTTAATAATTTGGGAAACCAAACACCTGAGCTTTGAACAGACTCAACAGCTTTATCCTTTGATATGGAAGCTGATATCACATTCTTGATTCAAACAATCTACACTTGTTGGTAACCACTCCTGCTCCTCCTTCGGCCAATCAGGTAGGCTATTAACACGATAACAACCAGCCCAGCCAGAGCTGCCCCCACGGCAATAGGTACCACACTGTTGGTGTCGGAATCCTGTGGACACTCGTTCAAGTCTGAAATAGACAAGTAACACATCTGGTCATTATGAACTCACAATTCAATTATTAATTATATGTTACAGAAACATTCCAATGGAATGCCCATCTTTCCAAATGCCACATTACTTACTGCCCATGAACTAGTTCCAGTTTCTATTTTCAAATTCTCTTTATAATTTCTTTGTATGTCTCAACTGACATATCATCAACCCTCTTCAGAGTGAGAAACTAACTTTTTTAGGGGTACAAGTTTTAGTGTATCTTGGTTTACAGCTTTTCACCCAAACATTCAAACAAATATATATATGTGCTTTAGATAATGGCTTTGAACAAAACTAAATCCATATATTATTTTCAATGTATTCATTAGTATTTAAAGGAGCACACATCCTAACTTTTACAATATTAATGCTTGTCTAAAATTATCATTGAAATAAACATGGTAGGCATCTAAAGTAGGGTTACCAAAGTACACATTATATATAGAGAGAGAGTAGGTTGTGTTACCAGAACCTTTCTAGGCTTATCACTGAAATAAATACGGAGTATCATGTGGGTTATACTCCGGATTTAATATTCAAGGGTAAATAAAATATTTGAACATATCCCTAGGAAAAAAATAGCGCTTTAAAATGGCATATATTCTCAGTTGTTCTTTCAGATGAAATCATTAGATCTTAGGATATAGGAATAGTTTAGTGAATTCACTGGTTTAAAATGTTAAATTAAGGATAAGAAGTTGGGGAATTTCCTTCCAAGATAGGGCCAGTTGGCAAGTATGGACAAGGGGAAAAGAAAATACAGATCTCTAACCCTGTAAGCACACTTACCTCCAGTTGGGAAACCGGTGGAGTTGTCAGTAGAGAATGCCTTTACTTGGAGGTCATCAGTGTTCAATGTGACGCCGTTGTTCAGTCCGAAGTTCAGTTTGTTATTACATTGATAACTTCCAGTTTTTTTAGCTGAAAACTGGGATTTATCAAAGGTATTGTTCGCTACCATTTCAGCTGCAAAAAAACCCCCAAAAAACAATAAACACATTTTAATTTAGAGAGAATATCACATTCCAAAGATAATATATGTTGATGAATTAAAACTTCAATCATGTGATTGAGATTACTTTATATACGGTTGATTTTACACTCAACATATATAGAGAGTGATCAACAGCACAGGGGTTCAGTGGGGTCATTACTTCTTTATCAAACACATCTGCTACAAAATTATGTCCAAGACATACATTGGATGTCTCCTGATATAACCGAGAGTTTCCCGGTTTCTAGCATCAAAACAGTTATCTCCCCTTTCTCCTGCAGTGACATGGAAATCTCCTGACATTGATATGACTATCATACATAATTTCCCTCACCCCCTTTGTCCTTTCAAACTTGAGATAGTCTTTACTGATGCAGGGCAAAATCTGTCTCTACTGAGTCACCAACAGGAGTATAGTAACTGACCAAGCTTATGAGATTGACAAGCTCACCTGACCAGCAGTGACCGCTGCTGTTGTTACAGTTATATAATCTAGGTGTTTCAAACACTTTAATATTTTAATGGTGATGATTCAAACAAACAAAAACCCGGACACTAATTGAACACATACGTGGATTTGGTTCTTGTCAGACAGGTTTTGGATCACTGTTCAGTAATTTAAGTAAAGGAGGGATGCCAATTTTGGCCTTCTGGTAGCTATCACCGGTAAGATTTTCCGCAGGGTCATGGTGTCAATTTTCAATCTTAACCATAGGGAAAAGAACACAATGCCTATTTTCAATTCCTCTACTAAACAAGCAAAAATTCTGCAAAACTGTGGTGGGGCTTGCAATAAATCAGCTTTTATATATAGAGAGATAAGCTAAAGCTATAAATGTCCCAATATTAATTTATTATCCATTAAATGTCCCCCATTTATTGAGATTTGGTTAAGATACTTATAAATACAATTTGGTAAAGATTGTTGTAAGGTTCTATTAAAAGGAAGAATTGATGACATAATCAAGCCAATACATAATAAGGTCACAGTGACCTTGTTATCAACCATGTAATACTTTTTTCGGACATCTTTATAATTTGCAATAAGTGTTACACAATACATGAAAATTATGAAGAAAAATGAAGTTTTGTCAAAAGTAGACCATTTGTGATTTTGGTCCCTCCACTTTACCTCCTTATATCTTGGAATGGTCTCCAAACAGACCTTAATTTCATGTCATAACCCAAAGGTATGTATACATAAAAAAAATGAAAGTTATCAGTGATAGCCACCAGATGGCCAAAAGTGGCACCCCTCCAAATTTCTTACAGCAGTATTTAAGACAACTGATCACCTAAACTTCTACATAAAATTCATGAACAATATTTTTTTTCTTTCAAGTGAAACTATTTTAAACAAAAATAAAATGTCTGTTTATTTTTACAGATTTTTGGTTAAGACAGCTACGAATAAACTAGAACTAGGAAATATTTGTAAAATAATTATATCTATAAGGCCAAAAAACCTGACCCAAAACTTTTTGATGAACAAAAAAAAAAAAAAAATTTTTTTTAAAAAAAACCTGCTGATTTTCGAATTTTAGAAGGTTCCTTGCCTTTCAAAATGGCTTCCAGCTCCGTGTTGGCGCTAAATGTCATCATATGGAGCACAATTGGTCTCCAAATGAACCTTGTTTATGTAATTCTTTGTTTTACATACAATAGTAGGGTCATAATCACATGATCAAAAATATATAAAAAATAAAAAAATAACAAGAGGCCAAAGGGCCTTAGCGGTCACCTGAGTTATATCATAGGTACTGGTAGCTTTATTTTATTGTTTAGATGTGATGTGGAAATCAGCATGTAAACTAAGTGAAATACAATACTTGTCATGTCATCAATGGATAAGAATTTGAAAATATTGGTAAATGTTCC